ATGTAAAACTTAAGCCTTTAAAGATTCTAATGACGTCGAGAAACTTGAAGAATACAAAGATGTTAAGGCTCTCAAATATACCTAAGCCCCTGAAGACTCTAAAGATACCAAATATTGTGAAACATTGGTTTTCGAATATAAAGACTATGAAGCATCTCAAGGTCATAATAAGACTCAACTTTTGAAGGATCGTCTGAAGATCTTGAAGATCATCCTTAAGACTAAAAACTATAAAGATTTCGAATGCTCTCTGGAACGTTCTCAATATTCAAGTATGAAGACTCTATAAAGATCCTGCGTAATTACGTATGTAAGACTTAATATAAGCCTTTAGCGATTCTAAAGACGTCGAACAACTTGAAAAATTCAAAGATGTTAAGGCTCTCAATTTTAAGCCCCTGAAGACTGTGAAGATAGCAAAGATTTTAAAAAATTGGTCTTCGACTCTAAAGACTATGAAGAATCTCAAGGTCATCATCAGACTAAACTTTAAAAAGATCTGAAGATCTTAAAGTAGATCGGCACTTTAAACTTTAAACTATATAGATTTTGAATGCTCTGAAATGTTTTCAACACTTAAGAATAAAAACTCTATAAAGATTCTGCGTAGTTATGTATGTAAGACTTAAGCCTTTAAGACGTCGAAACTTGAAGAATTCATAGATGTTAAGGCTCTCAATTTTGAGTCCCTGAAGACTCTAAAGATACCAAATAAGATTGTAAAAAATTTGTCATCGACTCTAAAGATTATTAAGTAAGATAAACTTTTAAGGAATCTGAAGATCTTGAAGATCATCACTTAAGACTAAAAACTATAAATATTTTGAATGCTCAAAATTTTTTTGAACATTTAAGAATGAAAACTCAATAAAGATTCAGCCTAAGGTATTTATGTAAAACTTAAGTTTTTGAAGATTCTGAAAGACGTCGAAAAACTTGAAGAAGGCTGTCAATTGTAAGCCTCAGAAGACTCTAAGAATACCAAAGATTGTAAAAATTGTTCTTCGACTCTAAAGACTATGAAGCGTCCCGAATGAAGTCGTGATTAGAGTAAATAATTTGAGTGGCCTAAACTAAACCCACAGATTCTGAAGACCTATAATAATGTTTTGAGATTTCAGAAGCAAGGATCTAAGGACTGTTGGTTTGAGCTCTAAAAATAAGTTTCTGAATATTCTTTAGCTTTAACTTTAAAAAGTCTCGGTCTCAGAGCCTGGAATAAATAAAAGCTGAAAGGAAAAAACTAGAAATAAAGAGAAGAAAATAGGAGATTTTTTTTTTACTCAATATTTTTGAATTTTCTTGATTTTTTTATTCCTGGCCCTTGAATTTTCCTTGATTCTTTTATTCCGTTGTAAGAAAAAAAAAACCATGAGCCTGGAAAAGACAAAAGTTGAAAGGAAAAAAAAAAGATTACTGAGGATCAAGGAAAAATTAGCAAATACAATCGAGGATAATTACCAATACAATTCATGTATATGCTAGTTGGTACTTTTATTCCTATAACGAGATATCGTACTATCTACCTTTCCGAATTGGTTTAGTTCTGATCTTCGGAACTTGATTGTTTAGTAAGAAACTGGCACATAGAAAATTTGAAGAGACCAATAGTCAAGTCGACTATATTTGCTTTTCAAACTTGAGAGCGCAATGCGAGACTTTGCGTAGAACTTGCTATCAACAGTAAATAGAATTGAGAATAACTTATCTGGCAATCCACGATCTTTTTGGGACATATATTAATAACAGGAACAATAGTTGTGATCTTCCTCCAAGATTGTCTTAAAACGTTGATGACCCAGCAGGTGTCACTGATCCGTTTGCTGAGTATTTTTTTTACTGTACACTCTCAAGATGTTATGGATGGGATACCATCCTTTCAGTTCGATAACTCGATGAGCATGAGCAGGATCCAGCTTTCTTTGGGAGAGGTTTTTGAATCGATAAAGGGGTGTAAGGATACGATTGAATTCGTGGCCTGATGGGATATCGGCTTTTTTTCTGAAAAGATGTATGTGTGCGTTGGTCTTACCAATTTCGCATATTTTCAATAGGTCTCTGGATACGGGTTGCTTTCAAAAATTTTGGGAGAGTAGTTTCTTGAGGCCAATCTACAAGTCTGGAGCCAGGGAGGAGGCCACAAATTACCGGGCGGTTTGTGATCAGTCCGAAATACCTAAATCGCTTGACTTTTTAGTAAGTAAAAAGCTGCCCTGGACTATCCGAAATTTGATCAGTCCAGAGCAGTTTGGTTTTGTAAAGGGTAGAACCACTGACTCACACTTAGTATTATATGTCAACTACGTTATCAACTGCTTGGTATTGTTTTGCTTGTTGTTAACGGACTTGGCTTGGAGGATGAGGAACAGTAGTGCCTTGCTGTTTGCTGACAATGTTAAGCTGGTTTAGGGAGATTAGATGTCCAATGGATTCTGTTTGCCTATAGGATGATTTGGATTCTTTTTATGAGTAGTGTGTAGAGAATAAAATGTCCTTAAACATAAACAAGTGTCATAAGATCACTTTTACTAGACAAAGAGACCCGATTAACTTTGTGTACTCCATTGATCACACCGCTCAATTTCAAAACTGAGATTTCAGATCTTGGTGTTGTGATTGATTCCAGACTCATATTTTCGAGTCACATTAGCCAAATTACATCCAATGCTTTGAGGATACTTGACTTCATCCAGAGATCCTCAGCTGATTTTTCTGTGTTCACATTCAAGGGGCTATTATTATTCTCTTGTCCATCCGATTTTGGAATACTGCTCAGTCGTTTGGTCTCCTTCGTACAATTGCTATATTAAACAGAGAGAAAGAGTCCATAATAAGTTTTCAAGGATAGCTGCTTTTAGGTCTGGTTATCGAAGAGAGGAGTATGAATATGAGTGGATTGGAAGTGTTCTGTCTTTGCATTCTCGGGAGGCAAGGAGAATTATGATCGATATGTGCTTTCTGCATAGGGTGATCAATGCGGCATTGACTGCCCTCAATTTGTTGACCCTGGTTCGATTCAGGATCCCATCTGGGAGTAGGCAATCTGATAGTTTCTTGGATACCCTTCCATCGCACTAAATACGGTGTCAATGAGCCCATTTCTCGTTTGGTTTGTAGGGCGAATAGTTTGGTTAAGCAAATAAACTTTTTGATACCAAATTGATAAAATTTAAAAAAGACTTAGAGAATCTATTGTGATACTCTTACCTGCTCTTACATATAGGGAAACATGGAAACGCTTTATATATACAGGGTTATAAGTGATAATATTTTTAATCCTTCCGACCTTCCGATCAATTTTCCTCCAATATAATGATATATCCATTTAAAAAAACACCTTTTATAACAAAACAACTTGAAATCGATTATGATTATAATAACTTAGGTATAGAGAATTAATTAACGGGTTGATCGCAATCGCAACTATTCTTCACCGTAGAACAATAAAGCTGCAATTAATTTTTCTTAATAATAATCAATTGAATTGATAATACTGGTATTATTCCTACTAATAATTAATCCTAAACCGTACAATTATTAGCATATTAATAATACATAATTAAACTATATGATTCATATGTTTCAATAGGTACCTGTATTAAATTTTGTAAAATAGTTTTTTGTACCTTTTGGTTTAGATGTTGAAAGGGATATTCTTTTACACTGAAACTAGAAGAGTCATCAAAAAAATTGTAGGTATATTTATAGTATAGATAGGTACCCACCTACATCTTAACTTCAGAGTGGATTTTTAATGTATTCTCTAATTTATGAGGGATAATATATAGGTACTGCACCTAGTAAAAACATATTATATTTCATAAAAATAATTGCATAGTTCAATATCATATACTAATAAAACATGTGGCATTCCTTTTAGTTTCCAAGTAATGACTCCTAAAATGTACAGAAATCCATAAACTTCACTAAGTAATTAAAGCAAAAGTAACTAATAACAATAAATTCTATAATTAGCAAAGCATGTATCCAAAAGAATCAATATTTAATTTAACTACAAATTCTTAGAATTGTTTGTCTTTGATTCAATACCAACTGCAATGCATTGGAATTTTTTAATTTTTTTTTCAACCGGTTGTTTCATACAGAATCCTGCAAATTAGCCACAGGCATTTCATAATAATAGTGTTTATTTTACCAGTGAAACCATCAGTGCTTAGAATCACGATTGTCTCGATGAAAACAAAAGTGAAAAATGTTAACTAATAAGTAGGTAGGTACCTTTGGTGAAAAAAAAAAGGTTTGGGATTTCTAAAATGATGAGAAACAATTCAGGATACTAGATGATTTTATTCACTATTCACTGTATCTTGTACCTAAGTACTAAGAAAGCAATTATTTTTGGTTGTGTTATAAGTACCTCTTTCTATACGAATAAATAAAGAATGCATTAAACAAACTCGTTTTCTGCATTTTGAACGATTACAAAAATACCATATAGTTTCACAAACACCCATATAATTTGAACAGAAATGGAAACAATGTCATATTACACATAAAACCCGCTTTATTCTCACATTCCTGACTCGACTAGATGGTATACTGTAATTAAATACGACCTTAGCATATTATTATTAGCCATAAACACTTCTAAATGCGGCTCAAATCGTGATATCTTTGTACTCTTCGAATTTTTTTGTAGCTGCTGAACGTTTATGGTACCACTTGGTACTATTCAGTGTAATTCATGACACGTTCGCAACACAATTCACCAAATAGGACTTAAATTGGTCCATCCTGTGTTAACCAACTTTACTGTTTCTTCTATTGTTAACAGTTATGGTGCCCTAGAAAGTTTATTTATGTAGATTTAATCGACGCGACACAATAATAATCTATTTTTAATTTTTTTTTCTTTTGATTCATTCAATTAATAGAAAGTCAAGTGCTTTTAATGATTAATAATTTACATTAATTGCCTACCTAATTAAAAAAATTGCACTTATGCAAAACGCACATTAATTAATAAATCATTTTTTTAGCATGTCAACTTTATTAAAATGGGCTCAGAACACTCAGGGGAAACTCACCAATAGTAGTAAGAGCACAAACGGTGAAAGGAAATGGATTCATCCACCTGAATCGTTGCAAAAAGGTCATATTGCTTATTTGGTGAAGTTTTTAGGGAATACCGTAGTTGATGAAGCCAAAGGTAAGGAAATTTTATATAAATCCAGACTTTAACTGGGGTGTTTTAATCAGGAGTGCACTGGGAAAAAATGTAATACGGTACACGTTGATTAACTAAATTCCCGAATATTTATTTCAAATAGGTACTGTACTAATTGAAAAAAAAAGGCAAAAATATAGCAATAAAGATTTCTGAAGTAAAAAATACGTGTTGACAACGCTGACGCTTTCTCAGCAATCCCTTTTACACCTTTTTTTCTCGACTAGTCATGGACCGGTGTCATTGGGTGTTTTATACCGAGGTAGAGGGTGCTTTGGTGTCTTAATGGTTACAATCTCTCCTTTTGGAGTTTCCCTACGTCCTCAGGGATACTTCAAGTCAATTTTTGATGTATGATCGCCACATAAACAAGTTGGAGCTTTAATGCGGCGTCTGGGTCGTCCATCTAATCTGGGCTCATCGTCATATTCATTTTTTTCTTCGTTAGAGTTAGAACTCTCATTGTCATCAGCATGCAGTAGATCTGTGTTTCTGAGGAATGGCCTCGTCACCTTCGGGTATATTATCAGTTTCAATAAGGCGTCTTCTCATGGGTCTTCCACGTGGGCGTATAGGTCGTACTGGTGTTGGAACTTCTCCTTTTCCCACATGGGGTGCCATAGCTGACGTATGTAATTTGATGGTGGGACCTTCAGTTGGCTCTATAGGTTTAACTACAATTGTTGTTGGAGTGACAACCTTAATAACTTCATCACGTCGTGGAGCAAATTTTGAAGTATAGGCATCTTTGGCTTTGCTAATTGGGTGTGTATCCACCATCACTCGATCTCCCTCTTTGTAATGGGGAATAGTTCTTCTCCTTTTGTCAGCATAATGTTTTGATTTATCTTGGAACTTTTCATGGAGCTCTCTTGCTTTTCTCAAGGTTCTAGCAATATTTATTAAATAAGGGGTAACTTGAGGAATGAAATTTTCTCTTTCAGTGATAGCTCTCATGTCGACCCTTTGTACATCATCGGGTGTGCGGAGCTCTCGTCCAAATGTTAATTAGGCTGGGATATATCCAGTACTGTCACATCTTGAGGTGTTCATGGCAAAACGCACGGAGGGTAGTTTATTCTTCCATTGAGTGTGGCAGCCTCCTACTAGAATTGATAGTTGGATTTCCAAGTCGCGGTTTTTCCGTTCCACAGGATTAGACTCGGAATGATACACAGGTATTAGGTACTGATGAAAACTAAGACAATGTGCTACATACTGCATAGTTTCAATAACAAATTGCGTTCCATCGTCGCTGGTAACCCTTCGGGGAATTCCATATCTAAGTATCACCTCATCAACAAGAGTTTGCGCCCAAGCTTTGGCAGTAGCATGTGCGAGCGGAAATATTTCTATTCATCTGCTGGCAGTATCGGTTTCAGGAAGAGGTCCAAAGAGATCTATAGATATTACTTCAAATCGCTTGGCCATTGCAGGTAGGTTTATAATAAACCAGCAGGTTTAAGATTTCTCACTTTATATCTCTGACATTCAATACAGCTAGAAACATGTTCGGCAACACTTTTTCTTATTCCTGGCCAATAGTATCTGGAATGTATTCGTTTGTGTGGTTTTATCAATACCATAATGACCAGCTAAGGGGGAATCGTGGTATTTTTCTAGAATTTGAGGAATCATGCTTTTCGGTACCACTAATTGTATTTCTTCCTGGATCTTACTCTCAGGATCATAGCGATACAAGATTCCTTCGGTCATAATGTAACCGCGGTCAGTCCATGTCTTAAATTCCACGGATTCAGGATCCGGTGATTCGAAACAAGAAATTATTTTTAATACCTACATCCGGATTTTCTAACTGCTTCCTTCTAATGTCTTCTTTTTTTTTTCTGGGCAAATCAACAATAACTTCATTTACCAGCTCTGTCTGAGACGTTTCTAGTGGTGGCCGGGATAAAGTATCAGCCACTACCTTTCCAGGTGTATATTCAATTCTTATGTTATAAGCCTGTAAAGACAAAGCCCATCGAGCTAATCGGCCAATAGGTGATTTTAAAGACATTAACCACTTCAATGGCTGGTGGTCAGTCTGAATAATGGATTTAGCTTCATCCAGGTAGCCTCTATATTTCTCCACAGCCCGCACCACTGCTAGAGCTTCTTTTTCTGTAGTGTGATAGTTCATCTCAGCAGGTGTGAGTGGTCAGCTTCCATATTCAACAGGTCTTTCATCGGCCTTCTCCCCTTGGAGTAAAACTGCCCCTAAAGCGTATGAACTAGCATCAGTTCTGAGTATATAAGGCAATGTCGGAGTATGGGATTAGTAGTCAAAAGTTGTTTCATAAGGTCGAAAGAATCTCGTTCTTTCTCCTCCCATTTCCAAATAGCTTTCTTCTTATTTAAGGAGGTTAAGAGCTTTGAAACTTCTGCAAATGAAGAAATGAATCGCCGGAACCAAGAGCATGTTTGGACAAAGGACAAAAGCTCTTTCACATTTCTGGGAGGTGGTCTCTCCAGAATAGCGGTGATTTTAGAAGGATCTGGTTGGATTCCTCGGGGCGTAATGACGTGTCCCAAATATTTCACAGAGGAGCACACAAAATGGCATTTGGATCGATTGAGGTGAAGCTTGAAAGCTACAAGTCAGTCAAAAACTCGTTGTAAATCGGAAAGGTGTTCGTGTTCTGGATAATAAAATCAAATCGTCTATGGTTTATTTTTTCCCAAGATAGATTTTGGCATTGTCAACTTTGAAACATAAACAATGCCGATAATGCCGCTTATTGGTCGCTATTGTAAAACTGATGTCAACCTGCAAAAACACCCCATTTTGCGACCAATCAGGGTCAAGCCTTATTGTTTATGTTTCAAAGTTTTCAATGTCAAAATCAATCTTGGGAAAAAATAAAGTATAGGTATATAAGCTACTATGGTCAAATCTTGGAGTCCGGATTTGAATCGATCTACGAGTCTTGGAAGGTGGAGGGTGCATTTTTCATTCCAAATAGCATCCCGTATAACGGAAAATTTCAAATAGGCAACTAAATGCTGTTTTATCAGAGACTTGATGGTATCCTGATTTTAAATCAAGAGTGGTCATATACTTTCTTTGTTTTGCAGTGTGTAATAGATCATCAATCCTAGGAAGTGGGTATTTATCGGAAACTGTTTTCTCATCTAGGCGTTGATAATTGACACAAAGGCGAATACTACCATCAGGTTTAGGTACTAGAACAACTGGAGCAGCATATGGGGACTCGCATTCTTCTATGATTCCATCTTTCAGACGCTTATCCAGTTCTGCCCTCAATGTGTTTTTGTTTTGTTCAGACATATACGATAAGGTGGTACAGAAATTGGAATATCATTAGTCAGTTTCACTGTATGTTCGGCATATGGTGTAGGCTCAGTACCGGATGTGAATAATTCAGCATATTGGTGTAGTAAGAATTCAATTTGTTGCTTTTTCGGTTGGCTTAGTTTGTACACCTTCATTTTCTCTCAATTGTGATGCATTCAGTTGTTCAGAAAACATTGGAGTAGAATCCACAGTAGTTATTACATAATTAGTCTCATCTTCGAATAAATACGAGAATTGTGGAGTTTCAGCATAATACCATTGTCCCTGAGGAATGTCTATCACAATATTGGCAAGTTCAATGAAGTCTAAACTAAGTAATCCTATTATTGATATGTTCTGGAATGGCAACAAGTGACGTTGAAATAATTTTATCATTCAGAATGATTTCAACATTGAAAACTAGAGAAGATACAGTTTGAATGTTGTTGAATATAAGGAGCGTTTTTTTTCAATAGAAGTTTCATAAGCGCAGCACCAGCTAGGCTACGCTTTGCTCCTGTATCTAAACACGCAAGACTAGTATGACCAAGAATATTGACTGGAACCATAGGTTTAATTTGAGAATCAACATCTGAAGAATGATAGAAGAATTCAGCAGCTTTGGCGCTTTGGGAGTATTACTAGACGAAACTGATTTTCGACAATTTATGGACAGTTGCTTTTGATGTAACCTTATTTTCCACAACCGTAGCAAGAAATTGCCGTAGAATCATTTTTTTTTTTCTTGGGAATGTTCTGACTTTCGACCTGTTTCTTCCAGTCTAGAGTTTTGTTTCAATTTTCTACAATCTTCTATGATGTGGCCATAATTTTTGCAATAAACACATTTCAATGAAGACTCCTTCCCTTCTGTTTTAGCTTCTTTGTGGGGGGCTCGATTTGACAGAATCGTGAGTTTTCTTTTCCAGTAGAGTGATTTCTGCACTTCGAGCAGTTTGAATAAGCTCATTGAAATTATCAACATTCTCTCGAGGAACTCTCTTTCTAATATTGTAGTAACTGACAAATTGCAGAAACCTGGTGATTAATTGGAAATTTAGAGAAAATGGCTCGACATCGGCTTACAACAATTTCTGTTTTCTCTTCATTAACTTGTTCTTTAGAAAATAACTCACGATATAGTTGATGTGGAAGTCTTTTTTGTCAAAAAGCATTTCGTAATGCACATATACCATCATAAAATGTAACAACATTGGATTTTACTCGTTGCCACCATATTGCAGCTTGACCTTCTAGAAGCATAGGAAAACCCTTAAGAGAATAATTTTCAGAAACATCCACGCAGTATTTATAAATAAGGATGGCATCAATAAACGTATTCACATCACTGCTATATGAACCATCAAAACGAGCTGTGCATTTGGCAAAATTATCTCGCTCTGAATTATCTAAATTGGCATTTTGGCTCTGTATAAGAGTTTGTAACATATCTGGGACATTACTACTTGTTGAATAACGTCATTATCATGATTGTCTTCGTTATTTTCCATTTCATTAGATTCAGTGATTTTCGACCTCCAACCTGGACGTAAGTGCATGAAATTGATGTCCTTGGTGAAGCTGGTTGGATGGATTATAACCACAATCGAAAAACTCACAGGAAAACTTCACAAATCTATCTAGTCAACAAGAGTACAGTCAAAATAAACTTGCTTTTTAACTTGCCCCACGTTGGGCGCCACTTTAACTGGTGTGTTTCAGGTCAGGAGTTCACTGGGAAAAAATGTAATACGGTACACGTTGTTTAACTAAATTCCCGAATATTTATTTCAAATACTGTACTAATTGAACAAAACGGAAAAATATAGCAATAAAGATTTCTGAAGTAGAAAATACGTGTTGACAACGCTGACGCTTTCTCATGACAATTGTGACAATCCTTTTATACATCTTTTTTTTTCGACTGGTCAAGGACCGGTGTCATTGGGTGTTTTCTACCAAGGTAGAGGGTGCTTTGGTGTCTTAATGGTTACAAGTCAAATTAATCAAAAACTGGACAAAATAGAGTTTTTATTTATCAAAGTAGATTAAGCTTTAAATATATCTCATAGCAATATCTAAGTAGGTATAAAGACTACAGAAAATCAATTTGGATATGGCTCAGGAAGCTAGAAATTGCTGTGACAGGCATACAGTGAATCATTGTAAGATTTGAAGACGAAGTGTATGAAAAAATAACAGCGGAAAAATTGTAATATGTTAAAATGTCTTCCTCTCCTTAGCTGGATTGTAACTCTAGAACTCCAAATGAGCTTAAATTTTCAGGGGTTGTAGACCTCTTCTACAATAAGATTCTCAGATTCACAACTATGATACATTTGAAGGTATGATTTTTCATAGTTTTCAGAAGTTTACCTTCCTATCCAAAAATGGTATAATTTAAAGATTTAATAATTTCATTTCTGACCCTGAGATTTATTGGCGGTTTATTTTCTTTGATAAAAAGACCAATGCTCAATAAATCCTGGAAGTTTGGAGTCCCTCTGATTGCTTGAACTATTTTTCAGAAGCTTCCAAAGGTGAATTAATAGAAATCTTACATGAATTTTTACATGATTTTTTTGCATCTAAGTGAGAAAAAATACATAATTCTATTTCTGAGCTTGAAATCTATTCGCGGTTTGTTTTGTTCCATAAAAAGATCCTCTGCTAAAGAAATACTGAAGGTTTGAATTCCCTCGGATTGCTTGAAGTATTTTTCAGAAGCTTCCAAAGGTGATTTAATAAAAATTTTACATGATTATTCTCAGGATGCCTGTATTTTAATTTCAAGTTTTTCGATTTTGTCTTCAGAAATGCGATCATTTGGGAGCGACCTAACTTCATACTGTAAATCATTATTTGATTTAAAGCCGAAATAGAAATGTTTGAAAAAAGAACAGTAGAAAAATTAAAAAAATCATAAAATTTTCTCCTTTTTGCTTAGCAAAATTGTATATCTGACTATAACGCCAACTGAGCCAAAATTTTCATGGGTTCTATTCTTCCCTAGAGATTTTCTAATTTAACAGAATTTTTTAAGAAGTCCAAAAGATTCTCTCATAGCAATGTCTAACCCTAATGTTGGGCTTCTATTAGATTCGTTTTTTAACTGAGAAATCCTGGAAAGTTGATACTTTTGTGTTCATTTCTATAGAGCGATTACCTCTAGAGAAAGGAGCCAGATGTCAATTAATTTTGAATTGATTTATTTTAGAACTGGAGCACATCTAAGTTTCTTCTAGTCACTCTTAAAAACATCATTTATTTATTCTATTAGAAAGTTAACATTTTTTCATAGACACAAGTCAATTAAAATTAATGGGTCACTATAAATCCATAAATTAAAGTCTATTTAACACATCAAGAACTCAAATGACGCACAATTTCCATTTTCAGGAATAGAAGTAGTTAAAGAAGCTATACGTAAACTAAGATTCGCTCAGCAACTACGTAAAAGTGAAACTGGAGCGAAAACAAAAAAAGTTGAATTAACCGTGAGTATCGATGGAGTGGCCATACAAGAACCCAGGACTCATACCATTATGCACCAATTCCCGTTGCATCAGATATCGTATTGTGCCGACGATAAAGGCGAGAAAAAGTTTTTTTCGTTTATAGCGAAAAATGAAACCGAAGACAAACACACTTGCTTCGTTTTCGTCTCGGACAAACTTGCTGAAGAAATCACTTTAACCATAGGCCAAGCTTTTGAGTTGGCTTACAAGCGCTTTTTAGAAACGTCGGGCAAAGATTTGGAGCATCAACAAAAAGCCATAATCATTCAGCAAAAAATTAAAAAGACAGAACAAGAAATGAATATATACAAGCAAAGATTGTTAGAGTTAAGTGAAATTTCCAGTATTAGATCTGAAATCGATAATTACTTGAGGAGGAATAATCTTAAGAGTCTTGTGGATTTGAATGCAGGTGGGTCGCATCAAAAAAACGGGCCTAGTGTGAAAAATGAGAAGAATGGACAAACAATGGTGGAAATTGCTGATATTATTGATTTGAATGGAATTGGTGGTAAGTATTTTCTAATCTGATTGAAATTTTGATTATTTTGATTTTTTTTTTATAGCCCCACCAGTACCACCCCGTAACATGGATAATATTCCTACTGTCGGTACTAAACTAGAAGGACTGTTACTGAACGAATTTGATCATGATAACGATTTCAATCCAAGATCATTTGAAAATAATAATAGTATACCACAAACTCCCAATTTGCCATTACGTAAGTCCATAATATTTGATCAACTTCAATGAATGTTATGGGTTTTCTATGGTTTCCTTCTAGTTGCACCTCCACCAAAGCCAGCGAAAAGGAACAATCTTTCAGTGAATACAAATTTTGAGCGATTGGACGGTTCCCAATTGTCTGCCTCCACAACGACCCCTAACAGTATTTCAAGTTCCAAGATTGATCCCTTTGAGATGGGCGATTTCAATACCAGTTCAACCACTTCGCAAGATATTGAAAATGCCATTGGATTATTGGACAAACGGATATTGGAAATGAAGGTAAAATATACCTACACGATCTGAATTGGAACAGCATAAATTAAATAGTTTTATTGGATTGGGCGCCTACTTTTTTACCAAACAAATCAAAATCAATGAGTCTTGTAACTTTTCTCTGCACTCTTTCTAGAACATCTATGTCTTTTGCGTAATGAGGGTTCCATATACATAGAAGTTGGGGATAAGGCCGTGTAAGTCGCATTTTAACAAGGTCGGTGGGTATATGGAAATGAAGAACATATTCTTCTTTAGAACATCATATTAAACAGGAACCGCTAATTCTCCCTTAAATTTTTGTTTGCGAAATCCAGAAATTTATACTTTTAGCTAAAAATGCGCAAATTGTTAAATTTAATGAATTCCGTACCTACCTATACTTTTTCTGTTATAAGTCAGTTGTTAATAATTAGACTATAGTCATGAAATTTCGTATTAATAATCTTGATACAAGCTACACTACGTGGTACTTACCAAGCCTTCATTATTTTTTTTTCTGATATTTTGGAAAAAAAATTGAAAATCCGCCGCAATAATATAAAACTAAGAAATGGGATTATAAAATACATATAGCATACGAGAAACTTTTTTATTCAAAATTTCAATTTGAAACAGAGCGCAATGCACGCAGTAATAGTAATGACTGTCGAGTGTAACTATGCTATCTAAATGAGAGTAAATTACTCCTCACCCATCAAAAATGCCTACAGTGTGGAGTGTGGGATAGTCAAACAAAGAATGACTGAAATCTGTAAAGAATTTATTTTTTAAAGGGAGAAATGAAAAAATTGGCATAAATCAAATTAAATTTTCTGTGCATTTCCCTTCACACAACTTATAGGACACAAACTGAGGACGGTATGCACCTGCACTTCTTGTTTCGGGAACAGTTGAATGCCTTTACATTGGCAAAAGGATTTTAGATCAAAGGTAATCAGTTTTGATGTTTTGGTCATCATTAGGGGAATGATGTTTCCTTTCTCTTCAATCCAACCAAAATGTAAAATATTAGGCAGTTTTGGTTGCACTCTGAGCGCAATTTTGTAAATAGATGATTGCAGAAAAGCTCTTTTTGCATGAAACATGAACGCATCTTCTGTTGGCGGTAGATGTCTATACCTCAGAGGATGTCTACCTACTACAATCCAAAATAGTATTGGTTAAATAATAGGACCAATCCTCATTGATAGCGAAATGGATTAATCTTATTTCGTATCAATTGAATGATGTTTAATTTGAGGTCGTTGTTTTCTTTGGCTTCGGTAGGTCGTTCGTGATGATGATCATCGATATTTATAGCAAATTACTCTGAACTTATTCTGATTTCGATGATATGAATAGTGACGCAAATAAACATTTCTGAACTGTAGTACCTATCCCGCATCGTTACACCAGAAAAAAGGTGATTCTCTGCATCCTTATTATATGTTTGTTCAAGGGCCATATCTGTCCAAACTTCGTTAAATCGTCCTCCCTGTATACATGAACATTGAAATTGCCAAATAGGAACTCGTTCCATGAGATGATTGATTTCTAAATTCTTCATGTCAGTAATGTAATGTGGTATATAAGAAGAATATTCAGTGGCGTAGCCAGTAGGGGGGCAGGGGGGGCGACGCCCCCCCCCCCCCCGCCCCTACAGGTATCGCGCCCCTATCGCTCTTAAAAAACAAAAACAAGAAATTATATAATTATGCTGTTTCTTATTTATTTTATTAACCTCTTCATCATTTACTCTTTATCATAAGTAGGCAGTTTCAGCAAATGCTTCAATTCATTCAAAGGAAACATATAGTTTCTGTTTTGATTATTGATGTAGTTAAAATACCGTATAGGTACTGCCGATTTTTTCTGCTACTTCACTAATAATTTCTGAAAAACAATTAATATGAATTTCAATGTATTTATTTGTTTATCAAACTAGGAGCTGTCATCCCTCCAGAGTTCCACGGATTTGTTCCAATTTTCAATTTCAATTCATTTTTATAAGTTAACGTTATTATGTCCACACATTACTTCCTTGAATATATAAGTAAATGTTTTTCGGGTAGCACCCCAAAAAAAAATTGTTTTTGAAGGCTCAAGAATTAAACCTTTTTGGGCGTGGCACCCGGGGAAATTTTCCGCCTCCGGCGGACTTTTTGTCTTCAATATTTTCCCCCAATAAGCAAATAGTACAAAAAGCCTCATTTACACCGTGCAAGTAGCTTGAGCAAGTACTAACGCCAGTAGCTAAATTATCTTTGTTTTCGTGCAAGTGAGTGTCTACAGGCATTTTACTGATTTTAAGTCGAATTTAGTGATTAGTGCAAATTGAGGTGAAATGGCAGCAAGTACAGTTGTTCGAAAAGAAATTCAAAAATGCATTTTGAGTGTTTGTGGAGAGTTATCAGAAATTTTATTGAAAGAAATTGAAAAAGGAAAACGTTGTTGGGTTCGACCATGGATATCTCGTAGAGAAACACATGATGCATCTTCCACATTATTGGTTGAACTGGCTAAGGAAGATCCAGAAGAATATCGAAATTGTATGCGGATGACAAAAGAACAATTCAATAAGTAGGTAACTTTAAGAAATTAAACCCATGGTCCCATGCACACAACTTTAGCATCCAACGAGACGACATTGCAAAGGCAATTAATAGGTGCAACACAATACTCAAAATATTCAAATTTAAACCCTACTAATGTACTTCACTAATCACTAAATACAAATCCTGTCTACACGCGTCCAGTCCGCTAAAGTCAGTAAAATAAACGAGATTAGGGGAAGCCACTTGCTCAAGTAAATAGGACCTGCTTCTATTCACTTGACTAGTTTATTTGCTCAAGTACTTAGATTAAGGTGTTTACACGATTCAAGCTACTAAATTTTAGTTAAGGCTGTTTTACACAGGGGCGTCGCGTCGGGGGGGGGGGGGGGGTACTGGGGGTAATTACCCCCCCCCAGGATCGAATTATCAAGAGAAAAATCACGATGCCAAAAAGAAAATACATAATATATTGAAGAAAATACATTTTTGTTTTATTTTTTTCACAAATGAAATAATTGTTCTGGAAAAGTGAATGACCTTGAAATTTGCGAAAAATTTCGCCTGCGGCGCGTTTTTGGAGGGCGCTCCCTCAGCCCCCCGTACCATTTACCCCCCCCCTCCAGACTACTGGTCACGCGTCGCCACTGGTTTTACACCTTGCAATTCTATCTGCAATATGTAAGAAACTTGAACGAGGGCATGCGCAGAAGTAAGTCAGTTGATTGTTTTCTGCAAGATTTTTGAAACTTCAATGGCATTGCATGCAATCGGTTTGGTGCCATTTTTCTTGAAGGTTTTCGTGTAAACTGGGGAATTTTCAGCAATTATGATGCTTAAAGTGGCTGCTATTGCTTTCTTTCTTTTATATCGACTTATAATTACTCTTTTCACTTTTGGAAAATGCAAACATCAATAACACAACATTAAAAACAAAAAAGTATGGTTAAGGTTAGAAAGAAAACAAGTCAAATTGCAAAATGTAAAACGACGTGCAAGAAATCTTGAATGTTGCAAGCTGTAAAACGGCCTTTACTGGCGTTAGTACTTGCTCAAGCTACTTGCACCGTGTAAATGAGGCTAAACGCATACAAAAATTCGTTTGTTACCCCCCCTCCTCCTCCAAAAGAATTATGCGCCCCCTCATATGTTTGCCCCTCCCGCCCGGAAGGCTGGCTATACTCCACTGAATTTGTAGTCCTACTACTAGCATATAGGAAAGCATACTTTCCACATAAGCAAGATGTTCAAAATAAAATTAACAAAATCGTGGGTTGGGGAGTGGCAAATAACACAAATTTATTCTTTGCGACGTTTCGTAACTATATATTGTTACTTTTTCAAGCACTAAAATAAATGGAAACTAAGAACATGTCATACATAAATAAATTAACCATTACAACATCATACCTGAATAATTAGTGTTTCTGTGCACACATTAATAAACCATTTCCATGGGTAATCCAGGAAGTTGTAAACATTTTCACACACGCAAGCTAGAACTTTTGTTTTTCTTTTTTTTTTTTTTTGGTACGTATTGCTATCACGTTTATCACGGAACCACTAATCTGGCCTTGGTTCCGGTGGTACCTGCTAGGTACCTACCATATGAGCATAAAACATTTTTTGTGCAGCAACAATAACTTCTTTTAATTTTTAAGAGTCCTATAAACCGCTGATAAATTCCTGGTAATGTTGCTTATACTAAAAGGCACTATTGCTTATTAAGTGTGCACAGGCCCACCAACCACCATTGTTTAGTATTTATTGCTGGTTAAAAAAAAAAAAAAAAGACACACACACACAAAAACAACCATTGGACATTTACGTTAACAAAAAAGACAAAATTCAATTATAATCGTAGTTGTGTAACTAGCGTAATTATTCATTATTATTGTATTCAGAGTATTTTTTCAAAATATTTGTATAAATTACACTTAGTCCTTGTGTGTCCGACCTTAAATTAATAGTGTTATTCAAGTTAATATGAATCATTTCGCCTATATTTCGTTTGAACCAGTTGCTCTCCTTATCCACAATTTCAGTGTTTTGAAATTCAAAGTGATGGCCAGTTTCAAAACGGTGTGACGCTAATGCAGTTTTTTCTGTTTTTGCTTGATTGTGGTTTTTACAATCATTTTTGTGCTGATTTAGTCTAGAAGCCAAATATTGCTTGGTTTGGCCGACGTAAAACTGACCACAGGAACATGGAATTTTGTAAATGACATTGGAATGTTTCTCTAGGGGTGTAGGGTCCTTTAGTTTTGTATATAAATGAGCTGTTGTTTTGGTATTATAGAAAGCTAGTTTAGTATTGGTTCTGTCTATGCAATTATTAATTTTTTGGGACAGACCTTTGATGAAAGGAAATTTGTAGTATTTGACATCAGGTTTGGGTGTGGCATTAGCGTCGTTCAGTTTGTTGTGGAAACAATGTATACATTGGTTAACAAATGAGGAAGGGTAGTTGTT